CCCCATGCACACACAGATGTCCACAACTTTCAACTAAGAAATCTCCTCTGTTCATTCTTCCAGGTTGTTCAGTTTGTTACAGCGACTTCCTGCGACAGTGTGTTCCGGCCATCTGTACAAGTAGTTGTTGGGGAGAGTCCGACGAATTACACGTTCAAGGTCGGTGCAATTAAGGAGTTGGAGAACTGTCTTTTTAAGAATATAATCTTTATAATAGAGATGCCGTTTGTTTTTCCCATATCCCCCGCTTGATGGCAAGCTCTGTGTTTAACAGTCTATTATATATATATATAGTATTTCTTTACAATCTATAGTAGGGTTAAGGTTACAAGTCTGGTGTATGCAAAAGGGAGGGTTGGAAAGGGGGCCTCTCAAAACCCAGTATCACAACAGACAATCAAGAACATCTTGAAATACAACTGCAACACCTGGGAACAGTGGCTGAATGGATGGGCATTGGGGAAAAAATTGGAAGAGCTGTATTTGCACACATGACTGCCCCCAACTCAAAAGACGCACTAAATTCCCTGAGTAGAAGACAACAAGTCATGATCTTTCGCCTGCGAATGCAACACATCCCACTGAATTCCTATCTAAATAGGATCCATAAGGATACCCTACCTGACTGCCCATTGTGTGACTCCCAGAATATTACAGTATCGTACCACCTCTTTACCTGCCCTGTGGCGACCTGCGTAGCACCTACCTACCTGTCTCTCCAGATGTTGGAGATACTCTATATGGCAACAAAAGGCAGCTGATAAACACCAGTAAATTTTTTGACATTTCGACAGGCCAAAGGGTTAGATTTCAGATGGTCGCTAGATTGGAAAAATAAAATAAAGTAAAAGTTATAAAAAAGGGGGCCTCCTTTCCAAGCGGGCCCTAGTGTTGCCACACGCCTAATCTATCCCTGAATGCCATAATGCTTGAACTAAGACTAACATCTGATCTCATGTTGTCAATCTTAACCTTGATTTTTTCAGGTGATGGCTTCAAATGGGCAGTATAACAGCAGCTATGTGATGTCAGAAATTGTGATACGCCCCCTATGTAAGTGAATTCAGTCGGAGAATAGTTTTCTTTTCAAAGTTGCCTACTGTAGGTGTACTATGGTAATATGTACTGTGTACTGTGGTAATGTGTTGTACTGTGGGAATGTGTTATACTGTGGGAATGTATACTGTGGTAATGTGTTGTACTGAGGTAATGTGTACTGTGGTAATGTGTTGTACTGTGGTAATGTGTTATACTGTGGTAATGTGTTTTACTGTGGTACACATGGGGTAATGTGTTGTACTGTGGTAATGTGTTGTACTGTGGGAATGTGTACTGTGGTAATGTGTTCTACTGTGGGAATGTGTACTGTGGGAATGTGTACTGTGGTAATGTGTTGTAGTTTGATAATGTGTACTGTGGTAATGTGTTGTACTGTGGGAATGTGTTATACTGTGGGAATGTATACTGTGGTAATGTGTTGTACTGAGGTAATGTGTACTGTGGTAATGTGTTGTACTGTGGTAATGTGTTTTACTGTGGTACACATGGGGTAATGTGTTGTACTGTGGTAATGTGTTGTACTGTGATAATGTGTACTGTGGTAATGTGTTGTACTGTGGTAATGTGTTGTACTGTGGTACACATCGGGTAATGTGTTGTACTGTGGTAATGTGTTGTACTGTGGTAATGTGTTGTACTGTGATAATGTGTACTGTGGTAATGTGTTGTACTGTGGTAATGTGTTGTACTGTGGGAATGTGTTGTACTGTGGGAATGTGTACTGTAGTAATGTGTACTG